CAGAATGCGAACATAATTAATTGCTCCCCCACACCAAAATCGCTGTTCATGTCGCGTATTCCGGAACCCTCCCCACTCTACTATAACCAGCAGGTTTTTTGCAAATGACTCTACTGTAGCCAACAGGCTACTTGCAAGTGACTGTACTGTAGCCAACTATTTAATTTAAATCCGTAACTCGAATGGACTGCCCAAATGTGAAAATTATCTATAGCGAGTGCTACTCACTATCGCGTACAAATTTCGCCACGGACAGCAGGGCTGTCCGAAATGCACTTGTTGGTACACTGAGATCAAGTGAAGTGACTGCGCCGCGAGCGCATTCTTAATATCTTTTAATACCTACCTCGAGATTTTCCTTGCGGAAATGCTCCGCCATTTTGTGGCGTTCGGTGAAGCACTAGTGGAGCGCGTAGTTTGGGCGATGGGCTCCGTATAGTGCACAGTAATAAATTTATTACGCATGCCATTTTCATTGAATTTTACTGGCGTTCTGCCACTAACTGATATTAAATTATTTTTTATTTATTTATTCGTTTTTATTCATATTTATATTTTTATTAAGTCAGTTCCTTACAATGGTAATTCCTTTTTTTACGGGAGAAAAGAAAGATCAATTTATTTCTTGAAACTCTCATAACGCGATGACAAATGTTGAAATTTTGAGGTTTTAACTCTCAATTGCGACCTCATTAACTCAGCTTCGTCACTAATAGCAGATCTCCGCTAGTAATCTATTCAATAGCCTTGAATTCAGAACAAAACCGTCAACAAACAGCGAATCTTAAATTTAGAAGAACTCGTTAAATTAAGCCTCAGTAGTCAAGTCCAAAGGTGCGCTAATAGTTTACAAGTCTGGATTTCAGGGTTTGACATGAGGTTAAAAAGAGAAACGAAGTTCAATAGTTTCATGACAATTCAACTAAATGACATGCAAGAAATCAGAATGTAACGGATAGATAATGGCCTTTGAGATGATGAATTCGAACTTTTATTGATTCAACTTGTAAGAATGGAAACATCTAGTCAAAGTTGATTTTTTAAATCAACCATGAAGAAATGAATTGTGACAAAAACTTTCAGAGCTCTGTGAAAAATAGACGAAATTGAACAATTTCCGTCTTAATTTTAAGCTCATTCAATAAGCTTTGCAATGAGTATAAGATTCCAGCAAATCATTAATCCAAAAAACAATATTTCAGGGCAACATCTTAAAAAAACGGCAAATTTTCAATATATGACAAGCGAAATTCGACAAGTAAACTCTCCATGCAATCTAACAATCACCTCTTGACCCCGCAATGTTCCTATATCTGCTGCAGCATCCGCTTAATATCGTGTAAAATACACTCATTCAAAACCCCCCTAAAGAGTTGATAAAGTGCATTAAAACACGATATTGGCCGATAATTTGCTGGATCGAACAAGTCACCCTTCTTTGGTAGTGCAACCGTTCTCGCTTCCACCAACCACCCAGGAACGGATGTGCTGCCATCGATATACGATTTAAAAATCCGAGCCAGATGGCCATGAACAGAGGTAAACCTCTTCTACCAAAAGCTGTTGATACCATTTGCACTCGGCTTTGCCATTCCGCGCAACACTAGCCGCAACTCTTCTTGAGTGACGGGAACGAATTCCACACGTGTCGACGATGTTGCAGGCAGAACGTGCGACATTCTTTGAGAGTAGGAATTTCCTCCATGAGAAGAGGATCGCAACCATAAAGATCCCCCCCCCCCAACTGCTCAAACCTCACGACTCATGGCATCTTTTCGGCTGAAGGCGTCCTTCATAATTGGTCAGGCACCTCATCGCCATTCTGAGTAAACTGCTCCGACCGAGGGTCATTACTTCTGATAGACATCTGTCAGAAACGACCTCCCCACAGCCGCCGTGGAACAATGAGCAAATCATGGCCCAGCCGACGCATGCGACTGGCCTAATCGTGAACATGCCCTGCTGTAAAGTGGGCACATTCAGGATGCACAATACACCATGAGTCTCACATCCGTGCCATATATCTTCGCTGTGTCGGCTAACTATCTGCCCAACATTGCATGAGGTCCGTCTTGAGCTTCTTCTCCAACCTAATCTTAGGGATAGCCAAGTTGTTATCCTTGTCGGATCTAGATCAATCAGCCCTCCCAACTTACCCATAGTCCCCATCCAAAAGGGATTCACTGTGGCTTGCTTTACCGCGACTCATCTGTAGAACTGAGCATTACGGAGGTTACGGCTAGTTAACCCGCAACTAACAGGGCAATTACAGCAGGATGGAACATCATCCCACTGGGCGATGAGGACGTTAACTTCCCGATGCCTAAATATGAGTATTATTATATATTATAATTAATTTTCCCTACACCTATATTATTTTATTCTCATGAAAGAAATGACTGAACGGTCTTCGAGGGGTTCGACTGCACCGCGAAGACCGCCCAAGAAGGTAAGCGATACCAATTATTCCTCATCGTTCTACGGTAGTGCTCTCTCCAACCAGAGGGTAAGCTCTATTGCAGCTCAGAATCATGCTGCCCAAGTAGCAGGAAAGACCCAAGAATGATAACATTCTGCATCGGCCCGGCCACACTCCAGCATTTCGCCTACAGGCTGAAATAATCTCAAGCGCACACAAAAAAGACTGCCGCATGCCGCAGAGACAATCAATAATCAAGACAACTAGCCTTAGCCTGAATCTCCAGTATAGCGGACGTAGTTTAAACAGGTGTTGTGGATATTTGAGTCGTTTTGCCTCTTCTTTTGCTGATATATTGCTCTCAGCCGGGGCCGAGGACTCGATGATCATTTCGTCTTCAAAGTAGAAGAGAACAATATCAGACTTTATTTCAGAGACGGGTCTGATAATTGCAAATGAGAAATTCTAATAAATCTTACACCTCTCATTGACAACAACGTACTCAATGATTCTCAGAGCATAAGGCAGCGTCGACGTTTTGTCTATGTCATACGAATATCGCAGATGGTAATACAGCACTCTCAAAGCTGCATTATGCCGATGCATGTAACTCGTGCTTGCACATGTCGGGCAAGCAAACGAAAGATATTTATCAGAGTTTCAGAGGACTGTTTGCTAGCCCGACACCTAACATCCCGAACTTGCAACGCCATAACACGAATTTAATCGACCACAAATGAAACTGTCGATTTCGGACATCAAACCAACTGATTTAAAAAATGAAAAGGTCAGCTGGTCGGACAGGCGCTCCTCCTACACATGACGAAAAAATACGCCATGTATAGGCCTGTTAACGTGCATGTGAAGCAAGTTGGGTTACTCCACCTCCTTGATGGTCACTCTTCGCCCGAATAGCCATACAAGTTAACGAATTATTAGCCAGCTGACCATTTCAACCACGACGGACTTCTGAACTGAGAGTCCCAGTTGAAGCATCCGCCGCCTTGTACACCGAGAAAAAATTCTACGAAAAATTAGTGTGCTAATGGCCTAGTAGATAATTCGGATATGGCACCCCAACTTTGAAGGGAATTCCACTGAAAAGTAGTGTATATTCTTCAAAAATTAGCATGCAATATTTTAATTTTTCGGATGGGCCATCCACGTCTCTTAGAAGCCCTCTGTTTGGTCCCAGGACTAATGAGTCGCCCACTACTTTTTGGTAGAATTTTTTTCCGTGTACAGAAAAACTTAGACCTTATGAAGCTCATGATCATGCAGACATTCAAAAAAAGATCCAAACCATTCATGACATTGCAAGTCAAGCCAAGGAGCAAGCGCTCATGAAGATAATCCAAACGGAGTAGCCCTCGACCTTCACGATCACGCGGAAAGTATAAACGCGGACTCGAAGATTGGTGATAGGTGAAGACTCTCGTGAATATTGTTATTGTGTAATATTATGATTCTTAATTTTCTTTTATTCTATAATAAATAATTATAGCGATAAAAATTAATAAAAATTGTGCCTATTTTGAAAAAACGATTGGGAGTAATAGATTACTGAGGGAAGCTTAGAGGAGGGAAGAGGTGTCAATACAACAGAATATATGTCAATGATTCCTACAGAGTGTACATGGAATTCATATGCGCAATTCAAAATCACAAGGTATATGTGCGTATTAATTAGTTACATTTTTTCAGCGAGTAATTTATCAACGATTGATATATGGGGTTAAATGAACATTATATCAGTGATTAGATAGTAATTTATTTTATTGTTTTAATTATTTCAATCAATGATTGCTAGATAAATTGAAGGATTGATTACCCATTGGGTCACAGGCTTCGAAATTAAAATTGAGACAGTGTTGGCATAGTTTCTGTGCCCAGTTATGCGCCATTAACGGCTACATACGCTGGGCCATTCTAGCGTCCCTTGACTGGGCCGGATTTGTTAGCCAGGATTCGGCCCAATCATGGGCCAGTCTTTCAGCCAAGCATTGCGCCAAGCTTGGTGATTGGCATACCACGCCTCGGCCAGGCCTCAAACCTTCCATGTATAGCTAAATTATGAACTAACTCCTCAGGCTATCAGTTCATTTTTACACCTTGAAATATTTTTCATCATCGGGACTTCAATTTGCGCTACTAAGACGCTTTGGTCATAGAGCCGGTAGGCTGACAAGGAGCCCAAAGACGTCCTCTATTGGAACTTCATCATCTCGTATCACTTCCGGATGGTTACTGTGTAAATCTAGCTTCTTCTTGACTTTTCGAAAACATTTCAGTTTGCATTAGACCCTTCGATTAGAAGGCGATCTCTCGTCTGACCTTCAAAAATTTTAAACATGATGGGAAGCGTATCGCAGAGCCTCGAACCGTGTGGTTGGTGGCCAAAATGTTTTTCCATCCTGTATCATGTAATGAAATACTTTTTCATATTCCGCTAAGGTTTTCCGATGAACTGCATTTATATTTCACTCTTGTGAACATAAGATTATTCAATATCATTATGTTATTTCGAAGCATACAAGTTCGTTGTATAATATTTGCACTCACATTAATTTTTTATTTGCAGGTGAAGATTTGGTTTCAAAATCGGCGAATGAAATGGCGAAATAATAAAGAACGAGAATTAATGGCTTCTGGTGGATCGCGGGAGCAAACATTGCCGAATAAAAATAATCCAAATCCAGATTTGAGCGATACTGACAACGATCGATCAAGTAGATTAGATTTGAGTAGTGATGTGTCTACATTTAATAGTTTGACAGACCTCACCGATAATGAAGAAAATGAAGAAATACACGTTACGTGATAAAAGTTCCTAAAAGCCGATACATAACAGAATTATTTCCTGCACATTATTCTTTGCCCAATGCACAAATTTTTGTGGGCAATGGACGATATAATTCATTTTTTCAAGGTCCCGTACGTATAATTTATGAAAATGGAACAAATGAAATGAATAAAGCCAAATAACTGAAATGTAATATATTGTAATTAGCGATCGATGTATTTGATTATGAAAGGCTCTTAATTTGTCATTGATGAATGGATATATCTGAAAGGTAAAATTTGGTATGAATGGAGTCATAAAACTAATCGATAATGTTTTTTTGTTGTTGAAAAGGGAATTGATAAAGATACCAAATTCAACTATCTATAACGATATATTATTATAATCGAAACAATAAAAACAAAGGGAATGAAAAACATTCACAGTTTTGGCATAATAACGTTTGCCATTTTTTTAATTGAAAGATTTCCATTAGAAATCTGCAAAGTATTATTAAATTTTTCCCTCCCCGCGGCCTATCATCTATGACGATGACACATTTCCTGTAACAGACGACAGTTACCTGAAACAAAATTTACAAATCCGAATGATTATATGAAATCATGGTATACGCTTTCACTGAAAATGGTAAGGCATTTGGGAAGATCTCAGAATTGAAGATTTGGGAGAAAAGTGTAACCCTTTCTTTAAAGCCGCACCCAAAGGCGCGATACTACTAAATGTGGTGAAAAGTTAAACTATTAAATCATAAATTTTTCGTGCTTTCCAGGGCATTTGTCGTGGTTACGCCTAGAGCGGTAGGCTTTTAGAGCGTTTCGGCATATTTTTAAATTCGAAACTGATTAGAAAAATATTAAGGAGTTAAGTGCGTTTTAACGGCCGAAAAAATTCCTCTTTTCGCATTTTTTTTTCATATAAAAAATTGATTAATTATGCCAACTTTTGAGCACATCAAAGAGCAACCTTTGAAGAACATTTTTTTTTTAATTTTGGGAATTCAGCCATTGGCAGCTGGTTTCACGAAGCACACCCTAGAAACATCTCCTCGCAATGTTCAGTGTAACAGAAAAAGGATTCACCTATAATTAAAAAATCAAATTTCATCGCTTAGTAGACGAGTATAGATCGTGATTAATCGAAGGATTTGAACGAACAAAAATGAATTTTTGGCGAAAGTTGTAAATAAAACAGTATGATTTTCGGTTTAATTTTGACCACAAATTGCCTTGAAAAAATGAGTTGAAATTGAAAAAAAAAATCTTCGATCACTCCTAGGTCATTCTATTTAGAAAAAGTGTGAAAAATTTCAATAAGATCGCTCCAATAGTTTTTAGAAATCGTGACCACCGACTTTGAAGAAGATGTTTCCAGAAAAACACCCACAAACATTGAAGTAGGAATAAAACGTAGATATTTTTTTGCTGTCAACTTACATAGAGCTATCGATTCCGGCACCACATAGCAAAGGTCCTGAAGCAACCCCAATATCGATTTCATCATTTTGCTGTTGTCGCGCACCCCAGCCTCAGCCTTTTTTTGGCAATGAATATGCGATGTTCATCTTCGTTGCGCCTATACTCGTGGCTATTTCGATCGAGTTTGACAGCCAGCGAATGTGAAAACAATAATGAGTCGAAGATTCCATTGCTTAAAGTGCAAGCTGTAATCATTGCAACCATTTCTACTATTTTCGAGCCAGCAGGGAGTAATAATTAACAATGCTTAAATACAACCTCAAAGAATCTTCCTGGTTCAAGAAACGATACGAAACGAAAGTATTTGAAACACCTAAACTTTCGAAAATCAAAAAGAAGAAACGAGCGAAAAGGGCAGCTAATCAAAGCAGCTGCACTCGAAATACCTGCCCCTGGCCCGAGCAATCCAGCCTGATGGGCCGCTCTCTCAAGGTTCTATCTCCTACACTTTTGTTGCGATTGCCTTGAAACTTTGGAAAATTATTCTAGACATATCATAGTATTTAGAAAAAAACGAAAAAAAAGAATTTTTTGGAATTTCAAAACCCGCGTTGTTCCGTCACAACGTCTCAGTCGTGGTCAAGGGTGATTTGTATGTCAGCGACAGACGGTGGCAGCACCTGACGAGGCCTGTCTCTCACTGATTGTTGCGTGCGCAGAAGGCCGTTACTAATTTTCCGACACTTGTGGCGTGTGCAACAAACCCCTTTTCTTCTTACCAGTTTTTAGTTTTTTCAGTAATGAATCGTTTCTTTTCTCTCAACCCTGTGGTACTAGTATCCTTCCTTAATGCACCAGTGATTGTACCGAAAAACAAGGCGACGTTTCCTATCAGGGAAGCAGTCGCACGAGATCACACGATCTTCATGAACCTCTTGGTTTTTCCACCACGCTGCGAACTGCAATGTTCAAGGAGGAGCAACGTTCCTACCGATCAACAAACACAACGATCTATTTACATTTAAGGTTTAAGTTAGTTAATCGAGCGTGATCACGTCTCGCACAATAGTCCACAAACGTTAAGTGTGTATGGGATAGTGATAAAACTTAATACTTGTGACGTCATTCGCAGATCAATCCACTTGGAAGCAACAAATTGTATCAAAATCAATAAACGTGGGTTTTTTATGCCGAAAGGCTTTTTCCCAACAATAACGACTAATCATTATACCTTTTTCAAAATTTAATGCAGCCATCATGCCATCTAGGGCATGACAGCCTAGTAAGGACAATTCACGCGTAATACCTTAATGCATTGAGAAGTCATGTTGGCCTTACAATAGCATCATGAAGAAGGGTAATAAAAGATACTCTCTGATCCTCGTTAGGAGATAACCGTTAGCGAAATCTCCCGGTACGAATAGTTTGGTAAATAATAAAAAAAGTATTTTGGTAGATATGGAAACCTGACTAGATGAAATACAAAATCTAGAAAAATTTAAAAAATGCGAGTGCACCCTTTCCCACCCTCACTTTTACTATGAATTCTGATGAGTCCGTCAAGTGCTATAAAAAGTTTAGAATTCTGCAGAAATATTCGGCTAAATATAAATTAATTATAACCCATAAAAAAAATAGACATTGGTATAAAAATCTAGCCTTCTTAGTCGTCAGCATTTTTTAACATCATTTTTCAAATGTTCGTTAAATACTTGATACTTTTAAATAATTTGCAACGATAGCTTTTATCCCATGAGGCTTATCACGCGATAAAATCAGCTCACTTCCACATCTACGACTAAATATCAGTGTTGCTATATCTGCCCATTATTGCGAACGCAATAAAAAAGCTATTAGGAGATTCCACAGAGGCAATCTGTTGCATATAAACTCTCTCCATTTCGAAATGAGCCAAATTTTGAAAGCAATAAGTTAGATTAGAAGACAATTGAAAACTCTCTAGAAGATAATTCCAGAAGATCTTTCGGAGATTTTTTTTTAGAAGATCCTTTCGCGACAATTTTTTGTCAAAGATCTTCGGAAGACAATTTATTTTGAAGATCTTGAGATGATAAATTTATTCTAAGATCTTTGGAACATAAATTTTTTTCAATGTCTTCATAAGACACGAGACCTTCTGCGTACTCCTTGCACCGAATTGAATTTGGCGGTTCGAGTTACCCAATGAGGAATAAGTCGTACACATTTCGAGATATTTTGGCAGGGCGAACTTCATTGTTGTATTTCTACTTTCATAATGAAGATTCTTCTATACGTAGGGTATGGAAAACCGAAAATTGAGTTTTCCCGACCCTACATCGGAAAGAATCTAGTTGCTCACCTAGGGCTTCGATCAACTTTGCACGTGGGAGTATAAGATCTGTTTTTCACGGCTATAGGTTTGAAAGAACGCTTCAGTTTATTAGATTCACCAGTTTTTTGATCCTTGTTTTTCTCAATTTTTTAATCCTCTCAATCCGAAGAATGAGAACAGCGGGGAACTAATGAGAGGAATCGATTTTTGATCTCTTTTCAATTCTCACGTTGCTTACAATTTTCTGAGGTACGATTGATAAAATTCACGTGAAAAAATACACAATTTTTCAGCTTTACCATTATTCACTGTCTCAGGAAGTTTCATCATCGTGAAAGAATTTTTCTACGTTCTCAGTAGAGAATTATTAAAATCGAGCAAACTTTGCCAAAAAAATCAAACAGACTTGCGTAGGCCTCTACAGATGCTTGTAAGGGCCAGGGTTTTTAAAACACGACATGAATCAGTTATTGGGGTTATTGATTTAGCCAAAACTCTCAATTTGCAGTAAGGGAAAGCACATATGACAGACGGGAGACAGCTCAAGAAAAAATGTTATATCTAGCAGGTCATTTTGCAAGAGAATGTTCTTTCCGTCAATATTCTACAAGACTTCCTCAAGGCATTGGAAAGGGAACATCAGCTTGGAGCCATTTGCATGTATTGTAAATATTCAAGTCATGATGCTGTAGACTATTACACAATCAAGAGACGACTCGGGATATTAGACAATCCAGCATTTTTTTGAGGGAAGGAAAAATCGAATACTAAAAGCGCACGGAATACAACTATAAGTGGTAAAAGCAGATAATCACCAGTAGGAGCATTTCACGTTTGTTAACTTTTATATGTAAAAATGAATTGTAAAATTCTGATTTTTTTTGTAAAATTTGTTATGCGTGATACAAATTTAATCTTCAAAGGGGAGGAATGTTATGCCAAATATGTTAGTCAATTGCGTTATTGCTTATTAGCTGGACATGCAGTTTTGTAACACTTACCAGCATAACTGGATTATGCTAAGCGAGTAATGATACACAAATTAAAATCTATTTAAGAGGCCGTTTGGGAATGCCGAAGGCAGATCCAAATCGGACTATGAATCGGGAGACAAGCACTAAATTGGGCTGAGGAAAAAAGAGGAAGAAAGTTCACTCTGACATCGGCGAGTGACGCTAAAACATCTGAAAGTTAGCTTTTAGATATCAAATACGTAATTAGTTTGCAAAAAATAAAATTAGTGCCCTGGAGATAAATCAGGCCTCATGAGGAGTCCGGAAACTGAAAGCAAAGCGGAGTCAAATTGGTGAGAAGAAGCTCTTCACTGTAAGTGCATTATTCATTACACGGTGGCAGAAGCTCCACTTTTTGAGCAAATGTAAATAAAAAATTTAAAAAATCACAAAAAAATTTTGTGAAAAAATGGCGCCAAGTCGACGTGAATCT